TTTAATCAGGCTCTTCTTGGTGGAAATTGGGATTGTCCACAGCCTATTGCTACCACAATCAGTGTTACAACAAATACAGCTGCACATAGAGATTTATACAAGATTGCTAGGCTAGAGGGGATGTGCATTTTAAAGTTCAAGAGGATCTGAGATCACCCAGTCTTAAAAGATTTCCAGCTTTTTCAGCTCGTAGCATTTTTCCGACTCGTAGCATCTCTGGATAGGGTTTCCAAGGAGCGACTGGTGGGTTTGATCGGCCATCCTTGTGGTTAGCAGTTGAGTGCTTATTCGACAGTGCCACACGAGGACTCCTCAGCCTGTAGTGTGAGATAAGATACTGGTTAGAGAGAGGGCAGGCTAGTTAACAGTATTGGTGGTGTTTATATTCTTTGTCCTGAAGCTGTTCACGAACCCACAGGGAAATACACAAGGTGGTAAAGCTATTAAATAGAGCTGTTAGAGGTTAGTGAGACAAAGGTGGCGGGGGTGTATATCAGCTACTGTTAAGCAGCCCCTCATGACAGTTGTACTGTACTTACATGCATCTGTTCTTTTCTAGGACCTTTAGCGTCGTAAGACATTTTGGCTGCGTAACCTTCCCTGCTTCAAGTTCATCATGTCAAAGTTAAAAAGCTCTGAGTCTGTTAGGGTGGTGGTTCGCTGTCGGCCCATGAATGGCAAGGAAAAGGCTGCTTCCTACGACAAAGTGGTGGATGTGGATGTGAAGCTGGGCCAGGTGTCTGTAAAGAACCCCAGAGGTGTGGCCCATGAAATGCCCAAGACCTTCACCTTTGATGCAGTCTATGACTGGAACGCTAAACAATTTGAACTCTATGATGAGACGTTCCGACCACTTGTGGACTCAGTCCTGCAGGGTTTTAATGGGACAATTTTTGCTTATGGACAGACTGGGACTGGAAAAACCTACACAATGGAAGGTGTTCGTGGTGACCCTGAAAAAAGAGGGGTAATCCCTAACTCATTTGACCACATCTTCACCCACATTTCTCGATCTCAGAATCAGCAATACCTGGTCAGGGCTTCGTATTTAGAGATCTACCAGGAGGAAATCCGTGATCTGCTCTCAAAGGATCAGACCAAAAGACTTGAGCTCAAAGAGAGACCTGACACTGGAGTGTATGTGAAAGACCTGTCCTCCTTTGTCACCAAGAGTGTGAAGGAGATAGAGCACGTGATGAATGTCGGGAACCAGAACCGTTCAGTTGGTGCTACCAATATGAATGAGCACAGTTCACGCTCTCATGCCATTTTTGTCATCACAATCGAGTGCAGTGAGGTGGGCCTTGATGGTGAAAACCATATCCGCGTGGGCAAGCTCAACCTTGTAGACCTTGCTGGCAGTGAACGGCAAGCCAAGACTGGTGCTCAAGGGGAAAGATTGAAGGAAGCAACCAAGATCAACCTCTCCCTTTCAGCCTTGGGTAATGTCATCTCTGCCCTGGTGGATGGCAAAAGCACTCACATTCCATATCGGGACTCAAAGCTTACTAGGCTTCTCCAAGATTCCCTCGGTGGCAATGCTAAAACTGTGATGGTGGCTAACGTGGGGCCTGCCTCTTACAACGTAGAAGAGACTCTGACCACTCTGAGATACGCCAACCGTGCCAAAAACATTAAGAACAAACCAAGGGTCAATGAGGACCCCAAAGATGCTCTTCTTCGTGAATTTCAGGAAGAGATTGCTCGGCTCAAGGCCCAGCTGGAAAAACGGTCCATTGGCAGAAGGAAGAGGCGGGAGAAACGGAGGGAAGGTGGTGGCAGCGGTGGGGGTGGGGAAGAGGAGGAGGAGGAGGGAGAAGAGGGTGAGGAGGAAGGGGATGATAAGGATGATTATTGGCGGGAACAGCAAGAAAAACTGGAGATTGAGAAGCGGGCCATTGTAGAGGACCACAGCTTGGTTGCAGAGGAGAAGATGAGGCTGCTGAAGGAGAAGGAGAAGAAGATGGAGGACCTGCGGCGAGAGAAGGATGCTGCCCAGATGCTAGGTGCCAAAATCAAGGTACCAGACCCTTTCTTAGGCCTTTCCCCTTTAGCTGCTTTTTGTGTATATACATATATATATATTTATTTGTTGTTGTTGTTAAGTGCCATGTAGTGTTTCCAAGGAGCATTTGGGGTGTTTGAACTGCTAACATTGCAGTTCAAATGGATCTTGCGGTACAGTGCTTATCCTGCAATGCCACACTCATATATGTATATACATACACATATGAATATCTCTTTCAATTTTGATTCCCAACAGTTCTATGATAGCCGGTGCTCAATAAGCATTTGTTATTTTGAAAAAATTAAATATTAAGAATTCGTAAAAAGAATCATTATTACTTACATGCAAGGTATAAAGAACAGCAACAGAACTACCTTTACCTGTGTACCTGCCCCGCGGTATGAGAAATCAAACAACCTGTCATACCTGTCATACCTGTCGAAGTTCCTTGTGGTCTTTGCCACAGAGGTTCCACTGTCCTAAATCTGTTGTTGATCATTTCCTTGCTTTTCATTATGGTTTTATGATCCATGTAAGCATCTCTAAATAAAGATTGTTCAGTTGCACATGATTTCTCACTTCTATGTAAATGGAATCCTATTGCTAAAATTTGCTTTTATTCCCTCTATTAAGTTCATGAGATTTGCTCATCTTGAAAACCTCTGTGGGTGGTGGGGTGGGGTTGAATGCTGTGAAGTCAGTTCTGATGCATAGCAACCCTGTACAGGGTTTCTGAGGCTGTAAATCTTTACAGGCTAGTAGATTTGAACTGCTAACCTTGCATTTGGCAGCCTAACATGTAACCCACTACACTACCGAGACTCCTTATAGATGCTTGTTAAGTGCCATAGGGTGGTTTCTGATTCATAGCAACCCTGTGTAGGGTTTCTGAGGAGCAGCTGGTGGGTTTGAGCGGCCAACCTTGTGGTTCACAGTCCAGTGCATAGTGACCTGTGTTGTTGTTAAGTGCCATCAAGTCAGTTCCGACTCATAGTGACCCTGGATAGGGTTTCTGAGGAATGGCTGGTGAGTTTGAACTGCTGACCTTGTGGTCCAGTGCTTATCCTCCAGTGCCACACCAGGACTCCATGGTACCCTCTGGCTGTGGTTTATTCATTATTACTAGTCTGGGTATCCTGTGGTATTTATTCCATTCTCCTACTAGTTTGGGTTGCTTGCCTTTAGGCTGCGTACATTCATGTACTTGGCTCCTGGAGACCATGTATGAGTTAGAGTACCTTGAAGTCCCTTCCAAGACTGAAACCTTCTAGACATGATGTGAAAATCAAGTCACGTACAACATAAATAGAGGTTAAGTTGCTCTAGGAAGGGGCTTATTATGGAATTCCACTATGTCAAATGCCACTTCACCCTCCTGGTTCCTGCATTTGAAGTGTGCCCACATTTGATTTGCATGCTGCTAATTAGGATCACATCTGTTATTCGAGGCCAGAAACATATAGATTCTAAATAAGCTGGGGTGTTTGGAGAACTCTCAGAGACTGAGTAAGCATGGCGAGACTCAGCATCACTATGTCAAGGCCACTGACTTCTTAGATGTTTTGTCTATGGAGAGATGACATTACATCTGTGTTTCTCAATCCCTGCTTGCTGTCAGATTCTAAAACAAAAGGATTCTAGAGCTGGAGACAGTGAGGTTGTTTAGTAATCTAGTCCAGCCCCTTCGTTTTGAGAGAAGAGAGAACAAAACTGAAAGGGCTCACTGAAAGATGACAGTAGGGCTGTGGTCAATGTTTCTAAGAAAGTTTCTTAAAAGCAACCGTTTAAGCCCAGAGCTGTCCTAACATCCAGACCCCATAGTCTTCTGCCTATGGACACTAAGAGCCGGCAGCTTCTTCCTTAGCCCAGTGAAGCCAGCATCCTCTGCTCCTCTCTATGGCCCTGTATGTCCACAAGGCCTCTGTTTTGGTTCTCTAGTGCTGCTATCACAGAAATATCACAAGTGAGTGGCTCTAAAGAACAGAAATGTGTTTTCTCACAATTTAGAAGTCTAGAAGTCCAAGTGCTGACTCTGGGGAAAGGCTTCTTCTCTCTGTGAGCTCTGGGGGAAGGTTGGTGTCTTTTCAGCGTCTGCTTCAGGGTTCCTTGGCAGTCTTCATGTGGTGGGGTAGCTGCCATCATCTGTGCCTCTTGTCAACTCAGTGTCACCCCACGTGACGGAGTAGAACTGCTTCAGAGGATTTCTTAGAGGAGTCCTGGTGTGGCGCTGTAGGCTATGCACTGGACTGTTAACCACAAGGTTAATAAGCTGTTCAGACCCATCAGCTGTTCTTCAGAAACGCTATGTTGTTAAGTGCCCTGGAATCATTTCTGACTCAAGCAGCTCTGCATAGGGTTTATCGAGGAGTGGCTGGTGAGTTTAAACAGCTGACCTTGAGGTTCAAAATGACCTCGTGGTCCAGTGCTTACTCTACAGCACCATACCAGAAACCTTAGATAGGGTTGTTGTGAGTCAGAACCGAGTAGTCTGCACTTAACAGTCTTTTTGGAAACAGGTCACACCAGGTGTTAATCCTGAGGGAAATGCTGGGCGGGTTGGAACCACCAGCCTTTCCTTTAGCAGCGAGGGGGTTTAACGCTTGTACATCACCTTCTCCAGGACGCCTTTGCTGTTCTTTTCTGGCTCTTTTTAAATTTCAGAGAAACACAGCTTACTGACATGGACTCATTAACATAACAAAGAAACCCGCTACCCTAGCGGGATTACATTAGTAGTATAGGGTTTACAAGGAGTTCTGGTAGCGTAATGGTTACGAATCGGGCTGTGAACTGCAAGGTCACCAGTTCGAAACTACCAGCTGCTCCGCGGGATAAAGATTTACAGCCTTGGAAACCCTGTTCAGGGTCGCTATGGGTCAGAACCAACTCAACAGCACTTAACAACAACATAGGGTTACAACTCACATTTTTGGAGGAGACAGTTCAAGCCACACCAGCCTCTAAATCCTGCCTTACCTGGGTCTCTTGGACCCATCCACTTTACTTCTTGCCCCTACTACCAAGTCTGCTCTTCCCCCAGCCCCCTGTCTGTCCCGTCTCCTGTAACCTAGCTATTCTCCCCATTCTGCTGACACACATGCTTCAAAAGGGTGTCAGGAAGAAATGTAATCTCCCCTAACAGGGCTTCTTTCTTAAGGTTTTGCTTTGCTACCTTCTTGTATCACTACTCCCTCCTAGGCTACACTCTGAAAAAAACAAAATTTTTTCCTAGTTTTTGGGATAAGCACTGAACTGTAAACCACAAGGTCCACAGTTCGAGCCTGTCAGTCGTTCCACACTAAAAAGATGAGGCTTTTTACTCCCTCCAAGATTTAAAGCCTAGAAAATCCTGTAGACTATACAGGGTTGCTGTGAGTTGGAGCTACCTCCATGGCACTTAACAATTTCTATTTTTACTTCAACTCTGTGTAGATGTCCCTTCAGACAGGATGCTTCCCCTGACTGCCTCCTAAAGTCTGCATTCCCTTCCTCCAGTGTGCTTCTCTTCATGAATTACTCCGTACTGCCCTCAGAATAAGGAACTCTGGTAGCGTAGTGGTTACGAATCGGGCTGCGAACCACAAGGTCAGCAGTTTAAAACTACTAGCTGTTCCATGGAAGAAAGATGAGGCGTCCTGTTCCCATAAAGATTTACAGCCTCGGAAACCCTGTACAGGGTCGCTATGAGTCGGAACCGACTCCACGGCACACAGAAGCAGCAGCTCTCAGAATGGCATCTGACACCTTGTGCTTACTTGTCTGTGTCCCTCAGTGCACTGTAAGCTTTGTGATTTATAGTCACAGTTGCATGTTGTTGTTGTTAACTGCCATCAAGTTAGTTTTGACTCAATGACCCTGTATAGGGTTTTCGAGGAGCAGCTGGTGGTTTTGAACTGCTGACCTTGTGGTTCACAGTCCAGTGCTGATCCTCCAACACATCAGGACATATACAGTAGTTGTCTGTGGGTGAATGCACTGGACTGCAAAGTCATTTGAGCCATATGGTCGGTGGTTCAAGTTCATCATTTGCTCTTTGGAAACCCTATACAGACAGGATTGCTATGGGTTGGAACTTGTACAAACTCCTCTAACATTTTTCAAAAAAAAAATGGAATTAATATTTTTTTTATTGTTGAAACTACACAACCAAACATATACCAATTCAGTAATTTCCACATGAACCCAAACATTTTTTAAACGAGAATGAAAATTTATGTATAAGGGCATTTCAGAAAGTTCATGGGAAACCTGAATGAAAAGATTATGAAATTTTCCCTAAAACTTTCTGAACCCTTCTCATATGAATGGAGAAGCTATTTTCACTGTTGCCAAAGTGAAGCCCCCACTGAAGCTGCCCCCAGCTCTACCCCCAGTGATTAGAAGAGTAGGACGGGCGGCTGAGCGTCGCTCTTCCCATTTCTGAGTTCTGAGCTTTCTGCCTTTCAGGGCCTCCCCTAGAAAATGTGTTCTGAAGGAGACCATTTATGAGATGGAGTCTTACTTTTTCATTCAGGCCATGGAGAGTAAGCTGCTGGTTGGAGGGAAAAATATAGTGGATCATACAAATGAACAGCAGAAGATCCTGGAACAGAAACGGCAGGAAATTGCAGAGCAGGTAGCTTTGCTTTTCATTCTTTTGGGGGACAGAGGCGGGAGGTGAGTTAATTCTACAGAGCAAACATCTCTTCTGTTAGAAATGCTGCAGAGTTAAGACTCTGACCTGGACAACTGAGCCCTCATCCTTGTGTAGATTGGTCTGTGGGATAAACTAATGAATTTTGTGATATTGTTCAGAAACGTCGAGAAAGAGAAATTCAGCAACAGATGGAAAGTCGCGATGAGGAGACATTGGAACTTAAAGAGACGTACAGCTCATTGCAGCAAGAGGTGGACATCAAAACAAAAAAACTCAAAAAGGTATACAAGGATTAAAGCCATGCAAAGGTGCCTTGAGACTTTGGGGGAAAATGAGAACTCTGTTGTCTGGTTGAATGCCCTCTTCACCCGCCTCTCCCCTCGGTTCCAGCTCTTCTCCAAACTGCAGGCAGTGAAGGCTGAGATCCATGACCTCCAAGAAGAACACATCAAGGAGCGCCAAGAGCTGGAACAGACCCAGAATGAGCTCACCAGGGAACTAAAGCTCAAGTAAGTGCCAGATTTTCCCCTAGTCCCAGGCCTTCTGCTAGGGTGGTGGTCCGGTTTGTAAAGTAAGAAACTTGCTACAGAAGACACAGTCCCTGCCTGCTCTAAGTCATTTTCTGCTACCTTGTCTGTCTTCTCTTAATCCTGAGATCACTTTCCATCTCGAGGTCCCATCTGTTAATGTTAACTGAACAAGTTGGCCACATAACCTCCAAGTTCCCTTCCACCCCATCTTCTGAAGCTTTTAAGGGCTCTGGCCTTTCTTACCTCTATCGATTGATAAAGAGGTAATCTCTTTTTAACTTGACTTTCATCATGACATTTTTCTTTTTCTTTTATCTTTTTATTGTGAATTGAGTGAAGGTTTACAGACAAGATTATCAGCTTTACATTCAACAAATCATATACTTTGTTTCATCTCAATGATTATAATCTCCTCAATGCAACAATAGTTATCCTGCTTCCGTCCTTTCCGCTCTGTGATTCCTGTTTGCATTCCACCCACCTTCCTATCCTTTCTCAACTTTGTCCTTAGGAAAACGTTGCCCTTTGATTTTGAATGATTGACAATTCCATGGTGAGGATACCTTACTAGTGTAGTATGCTTGGCTAAAAATTGGACCACAAAAGTGAGTTCCTTCCAGACCTGAAGGGTGATCGAGGCCCATAGTCTCAGATTCCTCCAGAGTTTTTCTGACCCGTAAATCTGGTCTATTTTCTTTTTTAAAAAATAATGTTGAATTTTGTGTCTCTCTCTGGGACCCTCTAATGTGATCCTTGTCCAGGGCAGTTGGTAGTGGTAACTGTCTAGTTCCAGTCTCAGAGTTGTGTATTATGGCATTTTTATGAGTGGTACAATGAATACCCAAGTGTCCATCCCCCAGGTTTAACCATTAATACACTTTGGTCACCTGTCTTTATTCTTGTCACCTGTATGGAGTCCTGGTGTGGCGCTGTGGGCTAATGCATCAGACTACAAAGTCATTTGAACTGTAAGGTCGGTGATTCAAGCTCACCAGCTGCTCCTTGGAAACCCTGTACAGGGTCGCAATGGGTCGGAATCAACTTGACGGCACTTAATAACAACAACATACTTATACAAGTATTTTAAAGCAGATTTTCCCTTGTGCTATTCCGTTCCTATATACTGAGTAGTTACCTGACCCTATGCTAGTTTTTGAAAGGCTTTGTTAAGGTGTCACTCACATGCCTCGAATTTACTGATTTAAAATGCACAATGCAGTGTTTTACAATGTTTATCAGTACTTCATTTTTTTTTGTGGCTAAATATTTAATATTCTATTGTATCGATAAAGTAAAACATACCACAATTTATTTATCCGCTCATTAGTTAATGAGCATTTGGGTTGTTTCCACTTTTGGGCTATTTTGCATAGTAATCCTATGAACATTTGTGTACACGTTTTTTTGTGTGTGTGGACCTGTGTTTTCAAGTCCTTTGGGTCTTTTATAAGTTTTACAGTTTTAAGTCGTACACTTAGGTCTGTGATCCATTTTGAGTTCACTTTTTTCTGCCACAATTGATAACATCATTCATGGGCCATACACACAATGATCAACTTAAAAATTGGCCTGCTGTCTTTGGTCAAACATTGAATTAACTCACCCCTAATGCGAGGCAGGCTGCTAATCTCACAGACAGCAGTTTAAAACTACCAGTGGTTCCGCAGGAAAAAAATGAGGTTTTCTGTTCTTGTAAAGATTTACAGCTTCAGAAACCCTACACATGGTCACTATAAATCAGAACCAACCCCACAGCACATAACCACCGCCACCAATGTGACTGCAGTGGACTCCTGGTATGGTGCTGTGGGGTCAACACTAGACTGCGAACCACAGGGTTTCAGTTCAAACCCACCAGCTGCTCCATGGAAACCGTATACAGGGTCACTGTGAGTCGGAACTGACTCAATGGCACTTAACAACAGCAATGTGACTGCAAGGTCAGCAGTTCAAACTCACCAGCTACTCCTCAGAAAGTCTATACAGGTCACTGTGAGTCGGAACGGATTCAACTGCAGTGTGATGGCTGGAGTCCTGGTGTGGTGCTTCAGGATAATGCACTGAACTACAAAGTCAGACTACAAACTTCAAACCCACCGGCTGCTCCTCAGAAACCCTGCACAGGGTCACTAAGTGTTGCAACCAACTCAATGGCACTTAACCACAACAACAATGTGATGGCTGGAACTCTGCGGTTGCCTTGTCAGGGCCAGACCAAATGATCCTGTGGGCCTTCAGTGGCCCCGTGGGCCAGATGTTCCTTACCGGTGGTCTAGCCTGAGATCTGGGCACAATATTGTCTGCAGCTCTGTAGGTGGTGATACTGTGCAGCATGGCTTGAGAACCACTGAGCTAATGGTCTCAGCAAACAGTGATCTTTGTCTGCTTCCATTATTTCATTAAGGCTTGCCAAATGTTTTTCTATGCCAGCCCTTCCATGTCATTAGCTGAAATTTGTCTTTAAAAGAATAACTTTCAAAAGAGATCTTTCAATGATCAAGTTTTTAATTCGGAAAGGAGTCCTTAAAATAAAATGTACGTGTGGGTCTTCTAAGAAAGAAGGTGAACAATGAGAAAACAGATCAGAGCAAAATAATATAGTTAATCTCTGGAAAGTAGATCATTGAATTTTTTACATTTTCTAAGATGAGTAAATAGAACTTTTGCAACCAGTAAAAGAACAAATAAATCTTATGAGACATAATTTTTTAAGTAAAGAGGAGCATTTAATCTCCCAAAGGTGGTTTTCTTTTTTCCCCTAGAAAGGGATTTTTGTTGTATCTTTCACTTAACATCTTTTGAATAAACAATTAGCCAGCCTGTTCCTCACAGGAGCCCACAACTCGGTGGTGTTTATTCTGTGTCTTTCCCACATTGACACCCCTCTGGCATTGTTCTGCACTGCGATTTGAAAGAGTGAAGACAGAGGTGTGGCAGAAGACAGTAGTCACCATGGAAAGACATGGCCCTGTGGGCTCCGGTTTCATTGTTGGCCTTGTTCCCTGTTGGACCGCTTCTAAGCAGAAACTCTTCTTAAGAATAGTTTCGGTCCTCAGTGTTCCATTGGGCCCTGGTGGATTAGGAAATGATTGTGTCTCAGCTTGGGTAACAATCCATGGAGTTGGAGGAGGGCAGTTTAAATTCTAACCAAGGACACTCCAGACAACACTTGCATCAGCAGGTATTCAGTATAGCTCAGGTATCTCTCAGTTTCTTCCTTTCACATCCTTGAGTCGTAGCTCCCACGATCCCAGGATAGACTGCTGTTAACCACCTGTCTTACCTAAGAATTCTGCACTGTAGCCCTTCTGTCTCAGGCAGGGACCGGCTCTCATGCATGTCTGAATCATGCCTGTCTGGTGTGCTGGTAGGTCCGTAGTACCTGATCAGTTTAACAGTTATCTAATTATAACTCATGGGACCAGATTGTCAATACTCACTAATTCAGCTTCTTTCTTTCTTTGTATTCACCCTTATGTGTTCTTAACAGACATCTTATTATAGAAAACTTTATTCCTCTTGAAGAGAAAAGTAAAATTATGAATCGATCCTTCTTTGATGAAGAGGAAGATCACTGGAAATTACATCCTATAACCAGACTGGAGTAAGTCACTATTGACTTTCAGTAGAAAGGCTGGGGGAAGTGGGGTGGAGAGGTTGCTCAGGAAGAATGAAAGTCTGTCGAGAAGCTGCACTTGGCTAGCGGGTATGGTAAGAGCTCAGTTTGAATCCTTTTAACTCAGGCCAATTGTATATCTGAGTTTTATGGCTGCCATAGGTCCATGAGGCAGAAGTTTGGTGATGAGTGTAGTGTTAGGAATTGGAGATTTGTCACTAGTGAACTAGTGACATTTCCCAAGTTCTTGCATTTCAGCTTTTCCTGCTGTCAGTGAAAGGTGGGTGATGCTAGACCAAATGAGCGGCAGTATACTTTGTGTGTCAGTCCCAGTCTGACACAGCGTGGAGACTTAGTCCTACTGGTAAGACGGGGGATGTCTGCCAAGCATGCAGGAGTAGGGGGTGCTGACATGGTTCGGGTCTGCCCTCAAAGAACTAGAGGATGACAGCTCCCTTCTAGTTTAAAAGATGAATGGTGTGTACACTGGCATCAGAGTCATTCTGTCAGTACTGTAAGGTCAGCAGCTTCTTTCCTGTTGACATATGTCAATCCTCTGCCCAGGGAATTACTTGCTTCAGTTCTGTCTGATGCAGGCTCGGAATCTTCTAAGTGCCAGCTTAGCGGGACCAATGCTAGGACTGCAGACCCCTCCAGCCAGGGCTTTAACCGCTGCAGTCTGTTTTCAGGAATCAGCAGATGATGAAGCGGCCTGTCTCAGCGGTGGGATACAAGAGGCCATTGAGCCAGCACGCAAGAATGTCCATGATGATTCGCCCTGAGGCCCGATATAGGGTGAGAAGATTGCTTTTGGATTTTTCTCCTCTCTCTTTTGGAGTTTGAATTTATGTAAACCCTTAGGCACCGTTTCATGGAGTCACAGAGATTGTTTTGTACCCTTCTTCTAGAGGTTGTGGATATTTAGAATAGAAAAATCAGTAAGTAAAATGGTAAAATAGGATGAGGTTTAGAAAATCAGAAACTAGGAAAGAAGGAAAATCCAAACAGACTGCCGCTTTGTTGTTGTTGTTAATTACCGTCAAGTTGGTTCTAACCCATAGCAACCCTGTATAGGGGTTCCAGTGAGCGGCTAGTGAGCTTGAACTGCCAACCTTGCAGTTCAAATGATTTTGCAGTCCAGCTCATTAAGCCACAGTGCCACACCAGGACTCCAATAGTAGTCAATAAATATTTACAGTAAACTTCAGGGGAAACTGGAGAAATTGTGCCAATGTCTAGTGACAGGAGAGGAGGCAGCACTGGGGTGTGGTGCAAATGGTTAAGCACTCAGCTACTAGCAGAAAGGTTGGCAGTTCACACCCACCCAGCAGCACCACAGGAGACAGGCCTGTTGATCTGGTTCTGAAAGGTCACAGCCTTCAAAACCCTATGGAGCTGTTCTCCTTTGCACTCATGAGTTGCAATTGACTCGACAGCATCTAACATTAATAATGACAGGAGAGGATTCTCAGGGTGCTGCAAACAGATAACAAGCCTGGCTGCTAACTTAGAAGTTGGAGCTTCTAATCCATCCAGAGGAGCCTTGGAAAAAGTACCTGGCAGTCTACTTTTGAAAACTCAGCCATTGAAAATCCCGTGGAGCACAGTTGTACTGTGACACACACACGGAGCTGCCAGGAGCCAGAATTAACTCACGGCCAGCTAGTTTACTAAACGGGATGGGGATGTGTTCAAGAACTACATACAGTGCTTCCGTTTAGTATTGGATTGTACCACTGTTGAAAGTGACACCATGGGCGGCTAGTTAATGGCCCCAAAAGATTTTACAAGCTGCAAGACAATTTGTACCAGATCTTGTATTTATGAATGGTTGGTGGAAGTACACTGACTTTAAATTTTTTTCTGTTTGTTTACATTTTACAGCTATCAGCAGGAAACCCATATTATTTATATAATGAAAGCTTTTCATTTAAAAATTTAGAAAAGGTTTTTTTTTATTTTTCCATGGCAGCCAGAACAAAATAGAAGATGGGGATTAGTTAGCGCCCTCATTGAAGTGATTTAAAATAAAGAAAGCCTGTCACTTCAGTGATTTAAAGTAAAACCAAAGCAAAAAGATTGATTAAGTGGAGTTTTATATAGGGGTAGCTGAGTGGTGTTATCAGAAGCCTAGTAGTATTTCATTGATTATTATGTGTCTTAAGCCAAATCACATGGAAGTAAAATTTTGCTAAAGAGAATACCAAAACAGCTTCAGCATTACATGGACAGGAAACTCCCAGAGATTCAAGCCAGATTCAGACGACGATGTGGAAACAAGGGATATTGTTGATGTCAGATGAATTTTGGCTGAAAGCAGAGAATACCAGCAAGATGTTTACCTGTGCTTTATTGCTATATAAAAGCTTTCAACTGTGTGAATCATGACAAGCTGTGGATAATGTTGCGAAGAACAGGTGTGTCAGAACACTTAATTGTACTCATGAGGAACCTGTACATAGACCAAAGAGGCAGTCATTCAAACCAAACAAGGGGATTAATAAATGGTTTTAAACCAGGAAAACTGTAAAGCATGGCTGTAGTCTTTCAACATGCGTATTCAGTCTGTATGCTGAGCAAATAATCCGAGAAACTGGATTATATGAAGAAGAAACGTGGCATCAGGGTTGGAGAAGACTCCAGTGAGTAGTCTGGGACACTTTATTTTGTTCATGGGGAAACCTGTACATAAACCGAAAGGCAGTCGTTCGAACAGAACAAGGGAACACCGAATGATTTAAAATCAGGAAAAGTGTGCACCAGGGTTGTATTCTTTCACCATACTTATTCAATCTGTATGCTGAGCAAATAATCTGAGAAGCTGGAATATATGAAGAATGTGGCATCAGGATTGGAAGAAGATTCATTAACAATTTGAGATATGCAGATGATGCAACCTTGCTTGCTGGAAGCAAAAAAGGCTTAAAATACTTACTGATGAAGATCAAAGACCACAGTCTTCAGTGTAGGTTGCACTATACTCAATGTAAACAAAACAAAATCCTCACCACTGGACCAATAGATAACATCATGAATAATGGAGAAAGGGTTAAAGTTGTCAAAGACTTAATTTTGTTTGGATCCGCTATCCACACTCATGGAAGAAGCAGTCAGGAAATCAAATGATATATTGCATTAGGCAAATCTGCTACAAAAGACCTCGTTAAGGTGTTTAAGAGCACCTGACTTAAGCTCTACAGTATTTTCAGCAGCTTAATATGTATGTGAAAGTTGGACAATGAATAAGGAAGACCATAGACAAATTGAAGCATTTGCATTATGGTTTTTAAGAGAAGAATATTAAAAGTACCATGGACTGCCAGAAGAATAAACAAATGTGTGTTGGAAGAAGTACAGCCAGAATGCTCCTTAGAAGCCAGACATCTTCTCTCATACATCAAACATATTATCAGGAGGGACTAGTCCCTAGAAAAGGTCATCATGGCTTGGTAAAGTAGATGATTAGGGAACAAAAGAAAGACCCCCAACGAGATGGGTACAGTGGCAGCTGCAGTGGGCTCAAGTGTAACAACAATTGTAAGGTTGTCATAGGACTGGGCGGTGGTGTCGTTCTCTTGTGCACAGGGTTGCTAGGAGTTGCAACTGACTTGATGGCACCTAACAACAACAAGCCAAAAACATGACTTGAAAGCTCACAAATCAAATACGTGAGTTTCCAGGGATTTTACCCTGGTGGCACTTTGGTTTAGCTGCTTGATGCCAACTAAAAGGTTGGCATCTGGAACCCACCAGCCACTCCATGGGACAAAGATGTAGCAGTCTGCTTTTATAAACCCTATGGGGCAGTTCTACCCTGTCCTGTAGTGTTTCTGTGAGTTCGAGTCAACTTGATGGCAGTGAATTTGGCTTTCGTTTTAGAACCTGATCTGAAGGCAGAATGTAAAGCAGTGGCGTTCAGATGTTTTTTAGCAGTGGACCACTTCATCAAAAGAAATTGTACACAGTAGGATAAGCACTGGACTAATAACTGCGAGGTCCATGGTTCAAACCCACCAGTTGGTCCTCAGAAACCCTATACAGAGTCAACTCAACAGCACTTAACATCAACAGCCGCAACATCCCAATATACAGATAGATAAATGAAGCTGCTGCCTTGACAACCATGGTGTTCTCCTCTCTACATACTGATCTCAGTGTGGTGGAGCGAGAAGGCTCATAAGAATCTCCAAGGCCAGTTCCGGTTATTACAACATTTTTACGAAACCCAAATATTGCCATGCATGAAAAGGCCTTTACCTTTCTATTCCATTTTTCCATGAGCTTTTGAAGATGCTCCCTTGTACACCCTCCACATACAGCAGACTTGCTTCCTCCTCTTTGCAACCAAAATGTTCACCTGTAATCACACCTGGAAAAAAATGACAGAACAACATCACCTGTTAACAGGCGTTTAGTAGACTCTGAATAGTGAGCAGTTTACTTGTATTCTGTGTCTGATGGCTGTGCTTCTACAGGCAGAAAATATCGTACTGTTGGAGCTGGACATGCCCAGCCGGACCACCAGAGATTACGAGGGCCCAGCCATTGCCCCCAAAGTCCAGGCCGCATTGGATGCGGCTCTGCAGGATGAGGATGAGATACAGGTGGATGCTTCATCCTTTGAAAGCACTGCAAATAAGAAATCCAAGGCCAGGTGAGTGGCTTTTGATGACCCATGTTTGAAGAGAACATGTTTGAAGAAGAACAAACTAAGAGGGGGGCCAAGAGTGTTTGTTTATCATCAGACACTGCGGAACACACCAGGAAGTGTGCCATATCGCTCCTGTGTTTATTCACTTGTTCCACAAATATTTATGGTCCAGGCACTTTGCCAGGTATACTGAACACCAGTATACTTAAGGTACCCAGTTCCTGCCTGTAAGAAACATCGGTCTAGTAGCAGGCAGTTTTGAGTGCTTTAAAAGAATTATCTTAATGATTCCCTATAAAATCTTGTAAATATTACCATCAATTCCATTTTACAGAAAAGAAAGCCAAGACTTAGAGAATTTGAGAAACGAGTTAGGTCCAAGAAAACCTAGCTAAGTAAGCTAGCAGAGCCAATGGTCAAAGCTGGGTTTTGACTAAACTTACAACTTCTGAACTTCAATGCTGAATTGACTTCACCCAGTAAAATAAACAAGTACTTAAGTCAGTGCTTAGTTAGAAACTCAGGCTTTTAAAATTCTGGATTAGACAAGGATGTAAGTAAAACAGCTAGCTGGAAAATCAAAACCAGAAATAATTCCTCCTGCAAGCTTGATTCTTTAAAAAAAAAACTAAACAATTTCAAGCTGTCAAGATTTGATGTTAACTGAAGGACAGAAGCTGAATGTCCAAGTAAGCTCCTGCCCTGAGGTCTCACACTCCTGTTGGCTGACTCTGGAGGCCTTTCCCAGAGGGTCAGGTTGCTTCGTTTAGGGCTTTGATAGCTGTAAGTATATTGGCTTTCCGGTCATTGAAAAAAGGCTGCCTTTAAAGGTTAATGGCACTCGATGGGAGAAGAGGCTGATCTGGTTCGGAAACTAAGACAGAGACGTGTCATGTAAACATTTGTTTGTATTTTGCAGGCCTAAAAGTGGAAGGAAGTCAGGATCCTCCTCGTCTTCCTCAGGAACCCCTGCATCTCAGCTTTATCCACAGTCTCGGGGCCTGGTTCCAAAGTAAAGCCAGCTCCTCCTCTCCCAGGGCATAAACAGCATTTGCCTTCTGAGAGAAGAGACGAGCGAAAGCGTGCAGAGAGGACTTGAGCCCTAACTCGGAACCATTCCCCTGAGGAGAAGCGATGGCCTCTTTGCAGAACGTGCTGGTCATGATCAGACACTCAGCTCCTCTGGAAAACCCTTTTAATTAGCATCTCAGAAATGCATGGGGCAAGGTAAAATGAGACAGTGCAGGTGGAGAGCAAGAAGGAAGCCAGTGACCTCGCTTCTCTCTTCCCTTCCCTTCCCTTCCCTTGCTTCTTGCGCCTCTTCTCCTTGCCCTTCTCTTCTCTCTCCTCTCCTTTTCTAGCCTGGTCTCTACACTGTGCTCCCTTCTTGTTGGACAGTAGGTCATAGTCAGCTGTCACCTTAGCAGGACCAAGTCTTTGGAGCTTCAGATGAAATGCCAGTGAGCTTGAAAAGTGAAAGCTCTAGAACTTGAGTGGGTTAGGTGCTCGTTCTCTTAGGTATAGATGAGAAATCTCATTGGGATTCAAGCCCCAAATGGGCATGATTGGCGATCTTGCTTCCCTGCACCTCAGTAAGAAGTAGATCTGCCAAATGAGAAAATCTTGACCTAGGAAGCTACCAATTTCTGCTCCTGAAAGATTCAATGTGAGACGCTCTAGTACTAACATTCCCTTTGCCTCTGGGGAGAGCTTAAGGAAACAACTTCTTTAACACCTCAAAACTGAGATTGTCCTGTCCAAGACCTACATCTATAAGCCGGTGCATGTCTAGACACCGGGTCACCTCACTTTTCTTCGTTTTCACCACCTTTTTCCTGTACACACACGCTCTGAGTTGCTCTCTCATGGGCCTGTCCTGTGGAGAAGGGAGGCTGGCTCTGCCTTCTTTGATGGGACGAGTCGAGGGAAGAGAGGTAGAGAAGCAATTTAGAATTCTCCACTTGGTTCCACATTGGCATGAAGAGCATAAGGGATATGAGGCGGGTGCAGAGATGGAGACTTAATGCAGTGGGAAGGGGAGACATCAGATGGAAGCAAAGAACTCCCTCCTGCCTGCTGCAGAAAACCACCGAACCCTAGAACTTGGGGCTCCCTGCTGGCAGAGCCCAAAGAGCAGCTGCGTGGTTGAACTGGCTCAGAGGAGAGTTAGGAATTCCTGTTTACATACACTAGTTTGGTTTGTAAGTTTTAGTTCTTTGTATTATTGAACTTCAAAATTTTGTTTTCTGTTGGTCATTAGGTTGATGGTACTCATTTTTCCCCAAGAGAAACTCACAAGTTTGTGTAGGTTGGGTTTGCAAGCACGAGGATGCCTGTATTCTGTGTGTGTGTCCCTCTGTATCAATGAGAGAGACCAAGAACTTGCCCAAGTTTGGAAATACACTAATGTGTGGCTGCTGCCTTTGGTCTGTGTTAAAAGCTCATTGAATGACTGATCCCAGCTGGGAGCATTCCCCTGTGGGTACCTGAGTCCATGAGCCAAGCCTGTGGGGACAGTGTGAGTCCCCAGGTCTGCCACGCTGGCGCACCTTGCTGGCATGGTGCCTTAGGAGAATGGCCATGCAGGTGGGCCATGGGTTGTATTATAACTCAGCTGCTTAGTTCCCAGGGCACATTTCTGGGTCAGAACCCGTGGGAAAGAGGAGGTACCGAGTGCAATGTCTTAAGCATTCTATAAAATAAGAGATCTGTCTGTCATCTGGCAACTCATCTACTTTTTAGTAACCACTCTTTCTGTACTTGGAGCCGTATTCAGCAGTTCCCAGACCACAGTGGAGCCTCCCCTCATCTTTTTTGGAGTCAAACTTGACTTTTTTCTAATTTACTAAGAATTTGCCTATTTAAGTAGAAAACAAATGATAAGGTATGTTGCCTAAGATGGTTATCTGCATGTTATCCCCACCTCTTGCACCATTGTTTCCTCAAACCTAGTCAGATTTCTGTAGATGGAAAATACTCACTGTAGCCAATTTGAGAATTAAAAACTACAGGTAGCACTACTCCTTAATACTAATGTTTTGAGGTGGCTATTCTGACCAAAGGCTGTTGAATGACACAGAACTTTTTTTCAGAAGGAAACCAAATTGACAGGCAGGATTATTTATTTAAAAAAAAAAAAAAGTTTGCCTTGCACTTAACTGTGTTCATCTCCTAGTGGTCTGTGGAAGTAAAAGAAAACCCTCAAGGTGAGTGAAGCTGCCCCTCCCCAAACAGTCTCTGGTGCTTTTCTTCTCTCAGAATGGATCCAATAAATATTTGAATAGAGGAAATGGTAGAATGCCTTGCTGCTGCAAGAAAGCTGCTGCTTTGGGTTCTGAATTGAGCCAGACATGGAGAGGACCTACCAAGCCCAGGTTTTCGTGCCTACAATCATGCTAGAATGTTCCAGGTCATCTGAGGGCCATCGTACCAGCAGTAACTTGAAGTCTGGAAGCAAGTTGACAGAATCTAAGAAGACCGTTGGGAGAAGGAGTTTGAGACTCTGCAACCCTCATCAGACCCCCGTTTGTGCTGATCAGTAGGAGCATATCTGGCTTTGTATTTTAAAGTCTCCCAGACCCCTGGATTCAGAACCCAAGGCCACAAATCATAGACGAGAAGCACTTTCAAAAGACTGACCTAACATAGGGTTGTTCCCCTGTGGAATGCCTGCATGCTGCTTGAATTGCTCCACCCACACCTCCATGACCATGGGCACAAGAGAGTTCTGCAGCACGGGCATGGGCACCTCTCTGCTCTTCCTGTCTGACTCTTGTTAAGTTCTCCCTCACTGAATGTAGACTTGTTGCCAAGTTTCTGAGAAGTGTCGATTCCCTGTGAACACGGCTATCAGTTCTGCCTCACATTTCCCACATGAGGTTAAGACTTGCCGTGAACACCACCTCGGACCATCTAAACACCATCAGTGGATGCGAATGAGGCTATTAATATACTCTAAAAGCCATAATACGATGTAAGAAGGGAACTAGATAAGAATAGTGGGTCTGGCTATTGTCTGTCAGGCAAGGCTTCGTCTTATACTGTTCAGAACCTTCCCCTCCCTCCAGCTCCCTTGTTTCTGGAATGAAATGCTTTTGATGAAAGGACTGATCCTGATCAGGCAGGGGCAGTGGTCTTTATGGCTCCTTGGAGTTACTACTATGGATCTTGACCTTCTCTTTGGCTACCTTTAGACAAAGAAAGAATATGCCAATACTTGGGGCTCTTAAGTTTTACAATTGCTATTTATTTGTATCATCTCTTTGTCTAGGAATGTAAAGTGATTCTAAGATGTGTAATAAAAATCAATCAGATTTATTGTACCTACAAAAAAGGTGTCCTCATAAATGACTAATACTTCTGAAAATAGCATGCCTATGGTGGACGCATGCTACTTGCTTTAAACATTTTAATCTGTCTAGTGAGAGAAGTGTGGGAGTGAAAAAATGAAGGTTGAGTTGAAATTTTTTAAATGTAGTAACAAGGGAGAGATACCTCATGTGAAGAAAGGCAGAGTGAGTGACAGAGAATTGTTTCTCCTGCTTCCTCAGCATGGTCTTAAGACAGGCATAGACAACAGGCATGACATTTCTTTGAACTTTTGTAATTTGTTTTATAAAGACCAATGTTTATGAGTGGTTACCAGGGGTGGGTGAAATGGCAGTTATTGTTGACAGGGCAATGGGGTTTTGTTACCAGTTACTGTCAGGTGATTCCAACTAATGACCATGCTGTGTGTCAGAGCAGACCTGTGCTCCATTACACGTAAAGCACCAAGCAGTTCTTCTGTAATCTGGTTCTTATTTTTTCGTGTCTTTTAAGTTTATTATACATTATGCTGTAAAATACCTTCTTTTTTACAAAACACAAAAGCGATATGTGTTACCATCAGGGAAAAAGCCCACCACAAATGAATGGGCCAGATATTTGTCTTGTGGTTTCTCATGCTCAAGCCTGCTGGTTTCTTACCCTTGGGGGACTGTGCACCCCATCTGATAAATAGGGACTGAGCAGAAGGAACACAGAGCCTGGACTCTGAGCTGGGCTTGATTTCTGTCTTCTCCCACTGTTTACTAGCTGTGTGACCAAGAGGACTTGAATTGACCTCTTTGAACTTTGAGGTCCTTGTGTGTAAAATGTATGATGACAGTCTCTACCTTGTCGGGCCATTGTGAGGATCAGAAATACATTTAAAGCAGCAAGCACAGTAGGTGTCCTAGAGCAGACATTTAAAACTGCTTATTGCTGTGATGGGGCCCTGTGTTTAAATGATACCATGAACGACTTGTATCCCAGGAGAAGCCAGTCCTGATCATATATCTGGGGAAATCTTAAACCTCTATAGAAAAGATGCTAACCATTGATTATTTCTTGAATATCTACTATGTACCAAGCTCTTCTTTTAAGTGACGTGAAGTCGGTTCTGACTCATAGCAACCGTACATAGGGCTTCTGAGACTGTAAATCTTTGTGGGAGCAGAAAGTTGTTCAAGGCCCTGGATTTATTGATGAGAGACATAGTCCTTGCCCTCAGGGAGCTTACACTCTAGTGGGAGGAGAGAGAGAAATGAATTCAGACACACAACTATATATACAGATAGTGACAAGTGACCTCTGCAATTTAGGCAAAATGTTCTTGGTGAGATGCCCTCAGGTATGTGTAGTATCCAGAAGCTTCTCTGTACTCCCGTTCCTTCCAAAAGTGAAAAGGCCACAGCTTGGTTTAGCCTAAATAATAATTAGATTAGCTCAAACCGTTATTCAGAAAGAGTTCAAAGTGTGATTTGTGGAACGGTGTTCTTAAAAATGATAAGAATTCTGAGCTGGGCCAGTGGCAAATTCGTCACGGGCAGCTGAATCACCAAATAGACTCATCTCTGGAATGTTTTATTTTAAATATCAAGAAACTACTCAAACCCCGGAAACTCTATTTTGCACTTCAGACTCATTGTTTAAATCTTGGTGCTTAAGATTTTGGCAGGCCCTCTCGTACTAGAGCTGCCATCTGATTGAAATTTACCCCAAGAGTCTAGTCTCCAAGGACCGTGTGGTGGTCACATCTGCCAACTGTGTTGTCAGTGCATTTGTCAAGGATGTAACTGTAGCTCATAGCTCTCACAGCTGCTCCCATTTCAGCCTCTCTTTCTACCAGCAGTCTTGTGGTTAACCAGTCCCAGGTGTTTCAGTTAGGCACACCAGCAAGGAACTTGCTTTGGGGGCAGGGATTTGGACAAGTCCTATGGTTTCCTCCAAGCTTCACACATGAGTTGGATGGGAGGATAGATGCTGGCACAGCTCAGAACAAAATTGTAATTGCCAGAGGAAGAGCCATGTGTCAGGGTTAAGTCAAAGAAGGCTTCACAAAAGAGACAAGGCCCTTGAAGATGGGTGGGTAGGGTTTTATCCAGCAAGGGAGATGGGAGGAGCATGCTAGACAAAGGGAGTTAACTGGAACAAGCAGATGGACAGTCTTTGGTAGTTGGCAATGTTAGCACCTGGAGTGATGGGAGTGGATAACAAGAAGGGGGCTGGGAAAGGTAAGGACAGTCCTTGAGGCTTTATTTGTAATAGTGAAGCACATACTCATTTACATGAGCATTTTCTCCTGAAG